CACACCATTTATCAATAACATAACTGTATCTCCAAACATATACTCGCCAAACATTGATCAATTAAACGACATAATCAACGTGAGCATTCCAGTTGATATAAATGACGATAACCAAACGAGTAAAGAAGAGATAGATGTAGATCTTCTTAAACTCTATAAACAAATCAAACAAATGAAACACGAAAGTATTGAGCCAGTCGAATTGCTGACACCGCACGACATACATCACTATGTCGTCAGCTATACTCTCGTCCTGGCAGCAGTTCTGGTGGCAGCCGTGTTCCTGTGGCGGTGGCGACGACGTCGCATGCGACGCGTGCTCATCTCCCCCGACATGGCACTTCAAAGTGTTAACGTCGCGAGTAGTGTGTAGTGTTGGTGCGTGAACATAACAGGGCTAACCGATAGTCCAGTGAGTAAAGTGGAATAAGTGTTGTGCAAAGCCAATCAAAGTGTAGTGTTGCGAAAACAAAAAATTGGGACTTTAAGATTATATTATAAGGTTTCCTGTAGTATCTCTTGAATGTAATCATTAGCATAGCATTGTTTACTTTTAAATATCATCTACTAAACTTTAGGATAGCATCATATTCGCCAACTAACATAATTGTACTCTCATCTCATCTCATCCTAACTTACGCCGCCCCGGAATATGTTCGGTGTAAACCCGAACACCTGCTTGCGAAGCAGTTTTCATGTATTGTCCTAACATGAACATACGACACGTTAGTGTACTTGTCGATCGCGAACAGAACGGGTGCATTCATCATATAACAAAACATTAACATTTCTAACATTTTTTAACATTAAACATTAACATTAAGAAAGTGCTTTGAACTCCATTTGAACAATAAACTTTTACGGTCACTTATGCGTTTGATATCTACCTACGACCTTACACCCCGTACACAACTAGTCAAAAATAGATTCACATCCACAGATCTTGAATTAAGATAGCTTATTGAAATCAGTCGTACGTATACAGGGTGTAAAAAGAACGCTCCCGAAAAACGCCAACAGACGATGGTAAAAAACTTATTTTTATAAAAGTAAAGAATTCAATGTTTGTATTATGTAATAGTAGTTTTATCCAACTGCTCAAAGCTGATTTTCCATGAATAACAGAAAAACAAAAACGATTAAAATCGTAAAAACAATTTCTTTTTGTCAACGTTTCGGGAGCGTTCTATGGTTTATGAATGTGTTGTTCTTAACAGCAGCACAATATACATATAAAATTGTAAACCGCTTTTTAGTTACAGTAAAAGTGGTAGCTTACTTATATGGATAACGCCGGTAACCGGTACGAGCCCGGTTTCCAGTTTCCGGCTAAGTTTATGGACCTATTATCTAGAACCTACCTATTGTCTTATAAAGTAACTAGCTTCTGCCCGTGGCTTTGCCTACGTTCTTGTGGCAAAAAAAACAGCAGACCATAATCTATCCCTGTTACAAATTTTACGTCAATCCCTTTAGCCATTTTGACATTTGAACAAACAAACAATCGTACAAATTTCGCATGTATAATTTTAGTAGTATTGGTACTTATTAATTCAATACAAGCGCGACTACCCAGAAAGAGGTCGGTCAGCCAAAGGCCTAATGTGAATTTTTTTCTAAGTTCTTTGGTTTATTTTGTAGTGGCACGGATTGCTGTGCCGTGCCGAGTATATTGATACTCGTTCACTGTATTAAACAAGATTTGAGACAAGACATAGTGATACACCCATTGTACACTATCTTTGTTAATATTATCCTATAATGCGATGGTGTGGTGTACAATAAAGCATATATTATTATTATTATGATCTAAAGACACAAATTGGGATGATGACAGGGTATGAAAACGGTCGGTAAGTTAGGTTATTAAAAAATATTAGACACGTATATTTTTATTTTGTCATATAATAAAACAATGCTTAGATAAAACGAATCAAAGTTTAGGAGTGGGGGCTAAAACGTAATTTTTCTACGTTAGGAGTGACGTCACGCGACATTTCAAATCAATATAAATCGTCGAAAGTATTCGAAAAATTGATTTAAAATAATCTACCAGACGGACATTACAATAAAAATTAGGCATCTACACCATTAAAATAGACTAATAATTAGTGTCCGACCGAAGCTTCGGCTTCGGCTTCGGCTTCGGCCACCTTCGGCCAAAAAGTCCACCTTCGGCCAAAAAGTCCACATTCGGCAAAACATTCGGCTTCGGCCCAAAGCCCGGCCGAAGCCGAAGGTTTCGCCGAAGGTCCGAGCGACTGCCGAGATTAAACGAACGATTGAACGAACTGTTACGAATGTCATGACGCGGCGGGGAGTCACTGTCAAAATATCACATTGCATGCATCAAAACAAGTTCGTACGTGTATTTAAACGAGTGTTTTGTTTTGAATTTGTGCTTATCTTTTAAATTGTGATAGATTAGTGTTGATTTACAAGTGACCAAGTGAAAAGAATAATCCTCACGTAAGTATTTGTTTAGTATTTAGTAAGAAATCAATAGGTACCTATTTTGTATACGATAGTTATTATGAGTTAATAGAAATTTTCAATTAGTGACTTAATGATATACATATTTCTAATTGTAATTTGTAAAATTATTCATAATAAAGAAATGATTACTTTTACCATGTAGACAATATTGAACAAAATAATTGACTGAGTGCTGAGAAAATATAAACCTTCGGCTTCGGCCAAAAATACACCTTCGGTCGGACACTACTAATAATTGAACTGTCAGGTAACATAGTTTACTAATAACAGACTTAGGTACTTCTGTGTTTATATGTGCATGTCAGCATGTAAGTACGCGAGCTAGGAATGTGCGAAATAATTAATCGACTTTTAATTACTTACGACTGCCTCGGCGGCCGAGTGGTCGCAAGTGCGATTGCCGGGCAGGGAGTCTCAGGTTCGATTCCCGGGTCGGGCAAAGTATTACTGGGTTTTTAAAAAATTCTCAGTAATAGCACGGAGTCTGTAACTGTGCCAGTATATGGTATTAGGCTCACCCCCATTACATGGGACTCATAACATAAATAGTGAAAAGTGGGTGTTACATTGTACAGTGGTATAATGAGCACCTCTCTAATTATTATAATATATTAACGTTTCGTCACTATGAGGAGTCTATTTGCAATGTTTTAAATGAACGTAGTACTATTTATTGTCATAGCCAGTAGGTTCATGACGATTATAAAGATTAAGTAACAAAATAAGATAATCGAACTTTATAGGTACAGTGGTCAGCACATCAACCTACTCCATTGATTCATTGGATTTTCGACTTTATGTCAATACTATAACGTTCAATATGTAATAGAGATATTTGACAGAAAAGGGTAAGTTCATCTGCTGGCCATACGTTAATTTTTGTCTGGCTACACACAAAGATAAAGCGAGACTAATTATATAATATTACATAGATATTTATCTACAATTACATTTATTTACGATATTATGTATTCGTATAATCTTTATATATATAATTCTTCTGTGAGTGTGTATGTCACTGAACTTCTCTAAAACGACTGGACCGATTTTGATGAAATTTTATGTGTGTTCAAGGGGATCTGGGAATGGTTTAGATTCACAAATCAGCCCGGCAGATGGCACTGCAGCAGTTTAGGTTATTTATCCTAAATAGCTAAACTAATTTGAATGAATTTATGTTTATACATGCAAGTGGATATATATGCAGGACAACGTCAGTTGGGTCCGCTAGTAATATATATATTTTTTAAATTGCTGAATCTTCTATTGCAATCTTACACTCTAATCAGCATCACTTTTCACAGTTCAACAATAAAAGAAATCTCAAACGAATTGCTCTAACAATGTTAACAATGACAGATACGTAAAAGTGATAGACAGGCGTTTAGTGAACGGAGGCCTTAGGCCTTGTTCCCACTAAGCTAGTGTTTTAGTCAAGTAGCGAGTATATAGTAACTCTCTCTCGCTTCGATTTTGGAACAGAAGATAAAGGGATATACTAAACATTCGCTACTCGACTGAAATACTAACATAGTTCGAACGAGGCATTAGTACCGGATTATTTTACGAAACAAGTACACGTTCGCGCCCTGATTGGTTGGTTCATTGCAACCGGCCAATCAGAGCGCCGAGCCCAAATCGTTTCGATTACTTTAAACGTAGAACAAGTTGGTACTACGCCCTCGGAAGTCGGAAGTGGCTCGCATTGTAACGTCGCGTGTTGTTACGAGGCGAACTAGTCAGCTGTGACGTGACGTCAGTTAACATGAACTAAGTACGAGTACATAGGTACAGCAGAAACATTGGTAAAACAAATTGGTACTTAGACAAGTATGTAGTATACTCATGACTTAGATATAACTATTATTGCACAAACTAATAATTTGGTAAAGGAAATAACGCTGCACAGTTCACACTGGGCAACGTGTAGCGGGTTCGATTCAACCACACGGATCAACTCTTTGAGTGATCCACAAATTGTTGTTTCGGGTCTTGGTGGTTTGCGCTTGCGCTCCCACGATACAGAAGAAAACAGTAATGTGGGGCAAAGTAATATAAAAAGAATTCGTTGGTTTTTCAATTGATACTCAGTATGACCATTTTAATCTGTGAGTACACACGTAGTAGAACATAATATGTGTTATCGATATTAATTGAATATCCACAGAGAAGTGACTATATGTACACTTAATACAAGCGACATGATAACCTGGTAGAATGTTAAGCCCAAAGATTATTATCTCTATTCACTCGATTACATGAGTATATATTTTATGCAACAAACTTCACTGACAGACTGACGGACGGACAATTCAATTTTTAACGATTTAATAGTTTATACCAAATTAAGTATTAATTGAGATATATACTTTGACTTTGACTTTATATCATTTAGCTCATAACACTCGCTTTGTACTTTGGTATAATCTAGGATTTTTCTCTGACAACACATATGGTGTAATGTCATTCATCTTTACTGTTGCTGATGATAAAGTTACATTTACCTGTGAGCCGGCGGCGGCAGCGATGGCGGTGCCGGACAGCACATCGGCGGCCGCGTTCACTATCGCACTCATCTTCGCACCTGTAACGTGATAAATGCCATATTAAATAACAACAGACACGTCGATAGACAGACAGACTACTTTGTATATTAGACTTTGTAATTGACAAAGTAGACGGAAGTAAGTTTATAATTCACTAGCTTTTACCCGCGGCTTTGCTCGCGTCACAAAAAGATAAAAAGTAACCTTTAACATATACCAATACACACAGCGCCATCTATACTAATACTTTTGTTTTCTCTCTGGAATATCAAAATTTTCCGGGATAAAAAGTACCCTATTATTTAATCCGGACTTCTAACTTTACGTCTGCAAAAATTCAAAGCAATCGGTTTAGTAGTTACGGCGTGAAAGCGGAACAAACAAACAAACTCACTTTCCGATTTATAATAATAGTAAGGATATTGTTTTATTAAACATGTCACTGGAAAAGCCGGAAAATGATAATTAGGTGATAATACTGAATTCATACGAAGCTTTTGTTTGTTATAGACAGCATAGATATTTTAGCCTTTTAACCCCTCGAGCGTCCTTATGAGCGCGGTGGATCGTAAGAAAAACTGCTCCATGCTGCTTTCTCTTTTATAAAATCTATTATTAATGTTTTGTTTTTATTTTGACTGTATTTTTTATTTCTATTGTAATGATCCTTGTTTTCGTGTGCCAATGGCCAAATAAATGCATTTTCTTTCTTTCTTTCTTTCTTCAAATGTCATGTGTGCACCGGCACCCGTTGGATCATAAGGAACGCGGACGCTCGACGGGTTAATAAATATTAAGGTTGCCAAGCTAATAGCTTACTGTACTGTAAGATCACATTCAAGATACCTACATAGGTACAGATTGTATCGTAATTTAAGAAATTTATCATCATCAACATAATAATTATCAAATATTACGGGGTCAAATAAACTACCACTGTGTGTAATAAACTTACAATCCTTAACTATTCAGAACATATTTTAATAACCTATTTTACCTAAGATAAGTCTTGATATTCGCGAAAAGAAACCGTGCAATGCACCAGTAATCGTGTAACAGTGTCACTTGGCTTACAGAGTAACAGCTGATGAGTCGTGTAGTACCGTTATGTACAGGCCGCGTGCGCCTGTCCCCACGTCACTTTTGGTGAAGTGGGACAGCTGAACTAACTGCGACTTTTGTAGTACTTTATGTTTTGCAAATTATTTGATTTTAGGGTTTCGGGAATAATTGAGTTATATTTAAGGAATATAGTTTTTTGCCGTGTTTAAACACCAACCAAAAACGAAAAAACAATAATTGTTTTTGTATCCATAATGTGACTTTTACAAGAGAAAAATCTGACGATAAACTCAACGATGACGATGAGCATTGTAATATTGGTTGAGAAAAAAGTTCAAGAACTGTACAGTGCAAATGTCACAGTCATTTATTCAGTATTTCCAATCTAATAATATCTTTTTCGAAAAATTTACCGTCAAAATCACATCAGCAATGATTAAATTATAAAGAAATCTCTCTGCCCATAGACCATAAAAAATTGTGATCGACCACGCGATACTAATTGTATGATCATCAGCAATTGTGATCATGTCACGAGTCACGGCAATGGATGTTCGAAATTCGATTGAAATTCACCAAATTACTCAATTTTGAAGTGATGAAAAGTAAAATTATACACTTCACGGTACTTATATCTATCTTCGGAGTCGCGGGGCTCCGGCTCGACGTGCAGGAGAAGGAATCTATCTTCAGAGTCGCGGAGAACCTAACGGGTAACCGGGACTCCGGCTCGACGTGCAGGAGAAGGAACGGGGTGGTTTTTAGTTAGTGAGAGTCTGACACTCCCTCCCGCCTCACCCAGGCGAGAGCAGTCATTTGATGATTAAAAAAAATCTATCTTCAGAGCTATCGTGAGATAAGCTTTCTCAAATAGTTCACATAAGTCATCTGTCATTTTTAATCCTACTTATTAAACTGTCAAACACCAAGCGGTCACCGGTGACCGCGACCTATTGTTCTTTAATTGTGTCTATAAAACCGGTACTCGACGAGTTAAAGGCTTGTTTCAAAATGTATATTCCTATTAGCTTAACTGACACACAATACATTTCTAGAAATAGAACTTATAAACTACATCAGTCGAAAAACGAAAGAAACATCTAAACAAATTATAGGCCTTCCCGTACTTGTCCCATGCACATACATCGTAGAACCACATGTCAATTACTTATGTCACATCATCACACGCACTAGTGTACCTCGTGGCTTCACTTTCATCTCATTCAAGAATACAAGTTCCGCCATTTTGATTGATTGGTTCTCACGAAAATGTAAACTATATATCATCCTATCAGACATTCAGTAAACAAAGTTATTTTAAACTTTATTTCTAAATACATTTGGTAATATTTTGAATGTAGATGCTTTTTGTAGTGTACTTAAGTGCATTTTTAATAACGAGCAAGATAGAAAGAAAAACAGCTTATACACGCCGTGACTACCCGTAATTATGACATTATTTTGTTTAGTAAATAGTAAAAACTGACTGCCTCGTCGGCCGAGTGGTCGCAAGTGCGACTGCCGGGCAAGGGGTCTCGGGTTCGATTCCCGGGTAGGGCAAAGTATTACTGAGTTTTAAAAAAAATCTCTGTAGTAGTACGGAGTCTGGAATTGTGCCCGATATATGGCAATAGACTCACCCCCTATTACATAGGACTCATAACATAAATAGTGACAAGTGGATGTTAGATTGTACACTGGCATAATGTGCACCTCTGCCTACCCCTTTGGGGATAAAAGGCGTTATGTTATGTTATGTTAAATAGTAGAAACTATAGGAAATTAATCGGACAGTTTATCAATTTAACTGCCAACTATTAAGGAGGATATTGTAAATTCTATTTCCAGAAGCCATAAATTGTTGTGATAGTTACAAACACGAAGGTTCTGTGTTCGAAGTTAATATTAATTCAAATTGACAAATATTGAAAACTATCTTGCAATGAAAAGCACACGTCCTTGTACGAAATATTATCGTCCTATTGAAATTACCATGTGTAATAGTATCTACCGGTACCACACACAATACACAAACCATAGCAAGCGCAATAACATAACATAACATCACGCCTTTTATCCCCGAAGGGGTAGATAGAGGTGCACACAGAAGTAACACCCACTTTTCGCTATTTATGTCTTTAGTCTCACGTAATAAGGAGTGAGCCTATTGCCATATACCAGGTACAATTCCAGACTCCGTGCTACTACTGAGATTTTTTTTAAACCCCGTATCGTGTTGCGCAATAACGACTACCAAAAAACGTCAGTAAACATGTTACCCATTGTTATAAATATAAAAAAGCAAAGTAAACAATTGTTGTTATATTAGAAAGTGTACAAAGATGTCAATGTACCAAGACTTGCTTATTTATGTACCACAGTGGCATTACCTCCAGAATATTAAAAAGTTCCGGAGAAAATGTACTGACTTTGTTATGTAAGAAACCTCCTTTTGGCAGCACTATTATTGTGTAATTAATTTATTATTTAGTTTAATTGTATTCAGGGCTCGGTGCGACTGCCCTTTCAATGAGTTATAATAGTGGTTGCACAACACGAAATGTTTTTTTACATAACATAACATCACGCCTTTTATCCTCGAAGGGGTAGGCAGAGGTGATTAAATATGCATTAAAGTGATTTGAATTTGAATTTGAATTTGAGGTGCACATTATACCACTGTACAATGTAACACCCACTTTTCACTATTTATGTTATGAGTCCCATGTATTAGGGGGTGAGCTTATTGCCATATACCGGGCACAGTTCCAGACTCCGTGCTACTACTGAGAATTTTTTAAAACCCAGTAATACTTTGCCCGACCCGGGAATCGAACCCGAGACCCCTTGCCCGGCAGTCGCAATTGCGACCACTCGGCCAACGAGGCAGTTGTAATGTTTTTTTTACTTCGAAATATATCCGGTTAAAATGACAATCTTAGATCGAATTTAAGACGGTACCTATAAGAGACTCAGTATACTAGGACTATGAGACTACTCTCGAGTGTCGGTATGAGACACAATAGAAAAGACATTGTGTCTCGCGTAGGTTTACGTTCCAGCATGCCACGGGTTAATAAGTATGTGTTCTATTAATACACACAAATAGATTCTTAAATTTTTCCATGGTTGGAAGTTTCATCATCATATTTTAAGAACCACAAGAAGTCCAAAGCCAAACGTAGGGTTCTCCTTGATTAGTCAGGTAGTAGGTGATGCCTTGGTCAGGCTAATATCCTCATACACATAAAGACTATTTACAAAATTTGTAAAAATTGTAAGTAAGGCACATGTATGTACTAAATACCTCATGAAAAAACGCATTTTCCGACAAACAAGTGCTATGAATATTTATGAACGAACACGCTTTGTGTATTACTATTATCCATGCACCAACTACACTTTGTTAATCACGTGGTCAAAGCCGCGAATCTAATCGTCGAAAACAATCTCATAAATAAAGAAAAATGGACTTTATAAACAGTAAGAATGAGGTTCATAATCCAACGATGCTCAATACGCTGTCACCGACCTGAACAATGTTACACGATTAGTTTACAAAAGCTTCCAAGTAACTTACGTTTCGTTGCACTTTCACAAATAAATCATAATACTTAAGAAAGCTTCATTCGGTCTCCAGTCTGTACTACACATTAAAACACTTAGATTTACTGTTTATTCTATTCCATGTAAATCACAAATTCCTGAACACTTTCCCCGCGCAAGCGCACACATCACGAAACCGTTATTTTTCGAACACTGAAATACAAATTCTTTGTCCGTTTCGTGTCCAAAATCGATAAGTTTGTAATACTTCGACTTTTCGATCTGTTTGAAAATAGTATCGACGACTACTTTCTTTGACTGTTGTTGATCAACTCCCGCGCATGCTGTCTATTGGGTAGCAGTGAAATGGTGGGAGTAGGGGGCTATGGTCTACTCTACTTGAACAGTTTGAACTTGCAGTGACGTCATTGGAAATATGTTAAAGTAAACTGATGTTTTCAATTTAATTAGATTAGCATTTATGTAAAGGGATGAACCGTTATATTATTTATTCTGTCTCTATCCCACCAACTATTTCGCTTGTTAGTTCAATTCTGCATGTATAAAGGACGATGCAATAAAATCATTCTCAATTTGAATAAATGTAAATTATTCGATAATAATTATTACATTCGACCAAGTAACGGCTTTTACTGTTTAAACTTTCATTTTCATTTATATTTTGTGGGACATTAATGAGTTTCATGGCTCATACCAACATTATACATATAATTTTATGTCTGGTGTTTCCCCCAATACAAATATGTGATGCAATTTATTTAGTGAATCGATTCTCCGTGTCTCCTACTTTCATAAAGTTTTATGAATCATTGTCTGTTGAAAAAAGCGTATATCTTGGTTTTTTTGCTAGTTATTTTCGCATTTCGATAGGCAATTTTCAAATTATGCCTATTTTGGAAAAAAGGTGTTAATGCGAACTTAATATTTACTTTCTTCCTCCAATCTATATCGTTTCTTTCGTACATTTTGTTAATTTACTCAGTAGTAAATTATTGTATTAAGAAAATAACTCCAATAAAATTGTACTAGTATGGAAAAACGAACTACAATAACATTCTTTGCTCTTACTTTGAGGTATGATCATAGTAGGAGACAGTTGTCATCGTAGACTAGCACCATAGTAACTGACTCTGCAGGTTTGAGATCAAAGCATGTATAGCTTGTAAAACTCATTTTGATTTTTCGTTCAATTGAAACGAAGCTATAGGTTCGATTTTTCACATAATATAACATCACGCCTTTTATCCCCGAAGGGGTAGGCAGAGGTGCACATTATGCCACTGTACAATGTAACACCCACTTTTCACTATTTATGTTATGAGTCCCATGTAATAGGGGTTGAGCCTATTGCCATATACCGGGCACAATTCCAAACTCCGTGCTACTTCTGAGATTTTTTTTAAAACCCAGTAATATTTTGCCCGACCCGGGAATCGAACCCGAGATACATTGCCCGGCAGTCTATTTGCGACCACTCAACCAACGAGGCAGTCAGAATAAAATTGTCCGTCTGTCTATCCGTCAGTGAAGCTAGTTGGTCATTCCAAAATGAAGACTCGTATAGAAAAAAACATTTTATATTAGGTATCTTTAAGTGTACAGTTAATGAACAATGACTAACCAAGTGACCACATTTTAAGGTCGGCCGACTTTCATCGGTGGTGTGCGTGATGTACCACTCGTAGCGCAGGTGGAGCCGGTCACGTATGGAGCCACGTCCCAGAGGATATGACTTGCTTTGTCTTGCAGAATAGAATGTAACAGTAAATTCCGTCTTGGATTGTATTTTTGTTAAGAACTTATTTTTCTGAAAATTAACTGAAGTGAAGGTCCCAAAAGCTACAGGGAACAATTCTATGGTCGATCTAGTTAAAAAGTATGTAGATTTTAGTTCAACTTTTTCAACGTTTAGGATAAAAAGAATATAATTATGTTGCCTATTTAGAGTTCTGCCTGTACCGTGAGTTCGTGTAACTATGTGATATGATCGAACGACGATAGTTACGCACCAGTCTGTTGACTAGCCACTGTACTGACTGTATCATCATCATCAGCCTGCGGAAGACGTCTGCTGTTGGACAAAGGTCCCTTAATCCTCCACGTCAGCCATCAGACCACCACAGATGGGGCCCAATAGGGCCGATGCCGATTCGGAGTCGTGGAGAACCTAACGGGTAACCGGGGCTCCGGCTCGACGTGCAGGAGAAGGAACGGGGTGGTTTTTAGTCAGTAAGAGTGTGACACTCCCTCCCCATCTAGGCGGGAGCAGCCATTCGAAGATTTTCCCCCCTTAAAAAAAAGTCCTCCTCGTCGAACTGTAGGTATAAAACATTGACACGTGTCACTGTATAAAAGTGCAGATTATATTTTCAATTTTGACTGCACGGTTGGTGCGGTGGCTGGGCAACCGGCTGCCGTGCAACGTGACGCGGGTTCGATTCCCGCACGGAACAACACTTTGTGTGATCCACAAATTGTTGTTTCGGGTCTGGGTGTCATGTGTATGTGAACTTGTATGTTTGTAAACGCACCCACGACACAGGAGATAATCCTACTGTGGGGCAAAGTTTAAAAAAAAAAAAAAAAATACCAATACTATGGTCTACAAAATGACGTCCTACCAATTTTCCTCCAATAGAAAAACTTACAGAACGCTTGTTGCGCGGGAGTGTCAACTGTCAAGTGACGGTCACTTACCCACAATTACCGATGAAAGTGAATTCGGACTCGACTTCTAAGTTTCGCTCTCGAACTTACTTTGCATATCTAGATAACTTTATTGATATGCAATTCATTGAACTAAGTAAGTGAGAGTACCTACTATTGGACCGGGTTTGTGCGCTGTGATAGTAATGAATATTCATTTATGTTATTGATGACCAACTTTTACCCGCTTTGCGGAGGAAATTGGGTGACGTCCTTCTCCGCACTACCAACGTTATGTATGAATTTAGAGATGGAATGAAGGAAAATATAAAAATAGCTTAGAAATGAACAGACAAACTTACTTTTGCGCTTAAGATGAGTTCGGTAGGATACATGTGTGTGTTATAGTTTCGTCTCTACGGAAGTAGAAGCATTGTGTAGGATATCACTTCATTTCTTCAAGGACTGAAGAAGAAGGAATCATGTTATGTGTATCTGAAGTTGTATCATTATCTACCTACATCACAATACGCTAGATGCCTAATTTTTATTTTAATGTCCGTCTGGTAGATTATTTTAAATCATTAGACACGTATTTTTTATTTTCTTACAGAAACGAATACTTTCGACGTTATATTTTTCAGGCCCTGTCATCAATCCAATTGACTAATTACATAATTTAACTGACTGGCGACTGACTGACTGTGAAATGCATAATATTTAACTCGATACACGATTAATCATACAGTTCAGGGCCTATGCGATATTGATAACACCAGAAAGTGGTCACTAAACTTCTTTTATGAATTTTCGACCTTATCCTTCTGAAATAGAGTCAAAATTATAATGTTTCACAATGCTTACAAAGTTATATATAGCTTAACAATGTTCATTAACTATTATTAAAGAGCTTCTCATATTGATAAGAAAATAAATTTACAACAGTTTTAAAAATCAGTTCTTTGATTTTGTAATCAAATAATTCTAGATTATTCCGTAGCAAATCAATGTAACTGTCCAATTAGTAATCAGGTCTCGTCACTCCGATGGCAGAATGCCGCTCGCCACGCGACGCCCATAGCCAATGATTTAATTAATTAACGCTAGATGGTGCTGATAACTAGATACATGCACTGGATTAAAATACGATATGCCGTGCCTACGTATTATACCTATAGTATAATACTTATCGGTATCGGTTCTCTTTTTATTATCTGTACCTACATATATTGGACTTAATTAAATAAGATTGAGCATAAACAAATGAGTAAACCAAATATTGCCGTGAATTTAGTCAGAATGGTTTCGATTGTCGCCTTTGTCTTCCTCCGGTGATGTCTAAAGATTTTCTACTTAAAGCAATAAAAGGCCTACTAAAATAGCGTCTTTATGTTATAACCTGAGACCTCTCTTGATCGGCAGTCGCATTCACGACCACCCAACGAATGAAACATTGCATCTTTGAAGAACATAGAAACATATACTTCTTACTTCTTACTTCCACTGTCACATCTTGATTGTCTTTTTTTATTTTTTATTTATGCTGCATCGTGCCTGGTGCTAAATAAATGTTTTTTCTTTCTTTCTTTCTTACATAGCTCCGAGGATCAACAGAAAGAAGTATTTACATGGAATTTAAAATTAGAAAGCGCAAAGGACGAACGTATAACGGTAAATTGGATGTGACAGGAACATAAACTTGTTTGAACCACGTGTTTGATGTACTGCAGTGTAAACTTGATCTAGAAAAATCTACCTCATTACAATGGTGTTATGGTAGATCTTCATCGAGTAGATAATGTGTAGTTACTATAAAAATATTTGGGTAAAAAATAAAGGTAAATGGAAACTGACTGCGTTCGTACTTGCCGTGAAGTATAGTTTGTTGCTTTACCTACTATATTACTAGGCCTGAGGTTACCGCCCTATTAATAATACTTTAGTACGAGCCTTATATAAGACGTGGACTTGGAAATATGTACTTTCCATTTTAACCAACCAATATCGCGAGCATAAGACAACTATGGAGTTTATTGTACACATAATAATGTAATAAGTAGGTACTGTGCATAACATAACATCGCGCCTTTTATCCGGCACTTAATGCCACTGTACAATGTAACACCCACTTTTTACTATTTATGTTATGAGGCCCATGTAATAGGGGGTGAGCCTTTTGCCATATACCGGGCACAATCCCAGACTCCGTGAAAAAATCTCAGTAGTAGCTGAGATTTTTTTTAAACTCAACAATACTTTGCCCGACCCGGGAATCGAACCCGAAACCCCTTGCCTGACAGTCGCACTTGCAACCACTCAGCCAACGCGGACGGCAGGTGCTATGATGTTATCTAAAGTCCATAGTTTCCTACCTAACCTATACAAATTGGCTACCTGATTGTTCTTTAATATAATAACCGAACAGTGATGATGATATTTCCGTATGGAGAATACATTATCGAGATTTTTTATTTTTACTAAGAGTTTGCAACCAGCCTCAGTGCATACAAATCACAGGCTCGTAGAGTCCATGAAAAGTAGTCGTAATGTTACCTAAGTTTTTTTAAATGCCCCTAGGTCTACTTCTTTTTGCCTTTTGCCAGGGCTCAGGCTAGAAGTACAGGACTAGGAACGGGGTAGTTTTTAGTCAGAAAGAGTCTGACACTCCCTCGCGCCGCACCGCCGGGGGGGGGGGGGCGGCGGTACACTCACTGTACGTCTCACTGTAGGTACTATGTATTGTCATAAATATGGTTTGATAGATTACACTTTTCATGTACTTACCACCCACTGGTCGCCTATTTATGAAGACCATGTGAAAGAGGGCGAAGCTATGCAATATATCAGGTCATTTACGTAAATGGTTGCTCATTTCTTTTGAAGAATGGAAGAAAAGATTGGTCCTTTATGTGTCTCGTTCTCGCAGAATTGATGGTTTTGATTCTTTGATAATATCATACTTTGTTATGAAGGATAGAGGATAGATAGATAAAGCTGAAGAGTGTTTGTTGGTTTGTTTGTCAGTTTGAACGCACAAATCTCTTCGTGTTTCATAGTCTATTTATCGAGGAAGGCTATGGGCTATAAAACATCACGCTACGTGCTGAGCAGAGCGGGTAAAACTGCGCTAAAGTAGCAAAAGTTGATAAAAAAATTGTGTTCAAACTTTTTTTTTATTTATTTACACTTCTTGTATACAATGGCGGACTTAATGCCTCGTAAATTATCTATGAGTTGAGTAGATAGTATCACAACTAAGTACTAACTACAATAATTGCGTGTTTCGATTATTTACTAATGTTTATTTAATTTGTTGTCTACAGGAGGGTGCTTCGGCTCTACGACAAAGCGTACCATTGTCGGCGGCTGGGCGTGGGCATGGTGGCTCGTCACTGATGTCCAGAGGATCTCACTTGAGGTGAGCAGTGTTTTTTTATAACTTAATACCCCGCAAATACCCGATTCAGCCTAAACACACGACTTTTATATTTTGGCCGTAGATGCTAAGTCTATGTTTGTCTATGTTATGTACTCAAGTACCTACCTACCATTGATATCAATGTCAAATACCTGACCGTGGCGAATATAAATTCATAGTTCCATTACAAACGTTACTTACTTATGATCAAAGCGCAGTTTTCTTATTCTTAAAGTAGAAATGCTAACTCAAGATATTGTTAATTGCAGGTGATGACCCTAAATCCAATGTGCGAATATGTGGAAACGGCACAGGGAGTCCCGCTCACCGTCACTGGCGTGGCCCAATGCAAGATTATGAACGAAGACGAGCTTCTCACGACTGCCTGCGAGCAGTTCCTGGGCAAGACTGTCAAAGAAATCAAGATGACGATATTACAGACCCTTGAGGGACATCTCAGAGCTATCCTTGGTAAGTCTTTTTGATTACAACGCCATCTATCAAACAGTAATGAAATTACCTTACTAGACAGTGACATCTGTTGTTTAAAGGTGGTACTAAAATAGGACACAAATATGTCACTAGATGTCGTTACTCGTCTTACCAATATTTATAAAATATAACATGTTTTTGTTCAGATAAACTTATAATAAATAAAATAGCAATATGATTAATTTAAATATTTTTTAAAGAAAACTAAATTACAATACCCGGAAATGGCTGGCAATCAACACTTCGTGTGGCTTTTAATAAAATAAAACAAGTTTTTATTCCAAACTTAATGGCATCTGCTAGATTTTCGACAGCTTAAAGCCAGAGTTAATTAACTTAACATAATTTAAAAAATATATTAATTTTAGGCTTATATTCTCGCAACGAACATTAATAATAAAAAATCCTTTTTTTACTTTTAAATTTTTGTGAAAACTACGTGGTCGGAAAAAAAATATTTCATGAAAAAGTAAATTGGTATGTTCCTTAACACGTTAAACGCCATGGGGGTCATCGGTGACCGGCGTTAGCGGAGGATTTAACACCTTCAACAGTTTTTTATTGGCAGTCAAAGTCTTAAGACTACTTTTGGTTTACGAGTTTTCCTTCCATCCTTAGTTGATACTAACTTGTACAAAATCAAACCTGCTTCATATTTCCTTGACCATCAACAATATTGTTTGGGACTTTTCCGATCTGACACCTGTCAAACCCGCATCGTGTAATCTTGACACTTCCTACTTCCGTTTGTTTGGATACGCATACGAAGGAACAATACCTAATTATGTTTGTTTGTAGAATAATAAGTAGGTAGCCACATAAAACTTTTTAAATTGGTTAAAAATTATACTTTGGTATTAATAATTTGTTGAAATTATCAGAAATTGTAATTAGGATCTTTCTGTTTACTTTTTAATAATAATTGATAACATGTTTTACTGAATAGAATATATTTGTTTATTTATTACGCTGTTAACGATCACAAATTACTCTAAGATATTTCTTTGTTACGTTAATATTTAACAATAAATTCCATGCGATAAAATACATATACATAGGTCATAGGTACACAATAATATAACAACTAAATAAGTACCTAATGTTGTATAAATCGTAATAAACTACAGACGAAATCACATGCAAACCCAAGTTGACAATGTAGGTACTCGTTCATAATACATAAACATAAAACTCATTCATTACCTACCTACCAATTTGATAAAGCTAACCTTGATACGCCCTTTTCACTAATTAATTGATTAGTGAACAAACAATACTGACTTACTGTACGTAATACATATAGGTATAGCGTCAGCTCGAGGGAATTTGTTACTAGAACGCAATGTAGGTAGTCATTTTCACACCTTTCAAAGACGACACACCTCTGAAAGCTTGAATTAATTTTATATGTTAAAGAACTACATGGAATCATCGAATAACTTCTTCCGCCTGGGTGACGCGAGAGGGAGTGTCATTCTTACTGACTACAAACCACACCGTTCCTACTCCTGCGCTTCGAGCCGGAGCCCCGGTAACCCGTTACTCCTCGTTAGTCGATTCTCCGCGACTCCGATGGGGCCCAATAGGGCTGATGCAGATACGGATCCGCGGAGGACTTAACGGAGAAGGAACGGAGTGGTTTATAATCAGTAAGAGTCTGACACTCCCTCCCGCCTCGCCCAGGCAGGAGCAGTCATTCGATAATTTTCTAAAAAAAAATCCGTGGTGGTCTGAAATACAATAAATAAGTATTTTAACTTACTTCGAAAAAGCAACTTTGAGATTATTTAAAAAGATTTACGTCGTGTAGATTATTATAGAAGAGCTTGTATAATATAGAGACAAAAGTAAAAGCTCTTGTGTACTAATAAAAATACAATTTAAATAGAAAGGACAGATGAAATTTTGATGTGGCATACTGAAATAAATTACAATGACATTTTCTTTGTCCACTTCAATTATTTTCTTACAAATTTGAAAATCACAGCCTACAGTTCTAAATGAAATAGGCTTAGGGCAGAAATTAGTGATAACCAATAGGTATTTATCAATAAAAGACCATCTCTTTGACGAAATCTGTGATTAAAACATTCTTTGAAGGTCTTTGCTGATAAAAAATCCATTTCATAGCCTGGCAAAAAATTAATTGAATTTCTGATGTTCTCTATTGTTTATTGGATTTGGATTTATTGACGTTTGCGTTAAAAAATATTTCAATTAATCAAATTTAGCATTGAGTCACATTTTTACATTCAGTTATCTTATATTCACTAAAAACATTCCAGAATGGTGAAAGGTTGGCCACATACTTTCTCTAAGCGTGATTAACCTTGGCTCCAACATTGGGTGTTGGTGCAACATTGATAGATGACTATCAATTCAAACAACCAGTTTCTATAATCGACAAGTGCGTTAATGTTAATAGATTAAGGTCATCTCTCGTGTTTAATCGCAGGTGCATACATCAAGCGATGCAAATCCAGTACTAACTAATCGTTCAATGTTTGGAAAGATGATACAAAGTGGGATCAAGTTAAACTGGTTTTGTATAGGTCGACTTGTAGCCAGGAAACAAACTGCGCTACGATGTAAGTAATGTACAGTTGACAACGGTGATAAATACCTTAAACACGTGTACGTGTTTCGGTACAGCTACCATGTCCCGAAGAGCAAACGTCAACATATCACTACATAGTATAAAACAAAGTCGCTGTCCGCCGTCTATCTGTCCCTGTGTATGCTTAGATCTTTAAAACTACGCAACGGATTTTGATGCGCTTTTTTATAATATATAGACTGGAGGAAAGATTTATATGTATAATACATGCATATTGCACCCGTGCGAAGCCGGTGCGGGTCGCTAGTGAAGAATAAAAAAAGAAATACAATCGGTAAGATAGTCAGAAGCTTCAAAAATTGAACTGTTCTAACCAAAAATGTGAATAATGTGTATGTATATTAAGTATAAGGGAAATATCACTTGAAGGGTAGTAAAGGACGGGTTTTTTCTTTAAGGGGGGAAAATCATCGAATGACTGCTCCCGCCTTAGTGTCAAACTCTTACTGATTAAAACCACCCCGTTCCTTCTCCTGCGCTTCGAGCCGGAGCCCCGGTAACCCGTTAGGTTCTCCGCAACGAGGGACGGGTGGTAGTCGATCTATGTAAAGTACTGACGTTCGGCTGTCCTGACTCAAATTTTTAGAGAAAATAACAAAATCTGTACTCAATAAAACTCTTCTCGATGAATGGCGTTGACTTTGCGATTGTACATCAGGCTCTGTGTAATTTTTTTTTACTGTAATTACGATTAAATAAGGAAATAATTAAATTAGTTTCGCAGAAAACTGTATGGTTGCCTATCGAGGTTACCTACAGCTTCATGGCTTCATCCGCGTCAAATACATTTTTAAAAGTTTTGAAATATTATTTCGTACCCTTTTACATACTCACATACACACATTACACGCTAATGGGAGCATTCGCGTGTAATGTGAGTGAGCACCTGACATTACGTCGTACGGAAATCTACTCAAGTACTAATCGTTCCATAACTTATTTTATTATTTGCCTTTACTTAACAAATAATATACTACTTTTAAAACCTAGAACCTAGGAAATACTTACAGTAATGCCTAGAATAAAAATATAGCAACATAACGACAGGCCTTCCCTTGCTATATGTAGGTACTAAATGACCTAGTCAGGCTATAGACCAGCTAGAGTAACTGTCAATGATATAGGTTTGTAGGTAAAGTTCCAATAGTCACCTCCCTATAAAGAAGGGTATACACTAAAGGAGATTAGGTCTTGTGATACGAATACTATATCTATAGGTAGACTATTGTATTCAGGTACGGATGTCAACATAAGATACCTCGATTGGTCAAGTTTGTTAACTTGACTTTTAATTCTAATCTAAAAGTAATAAAGTTAAAAATACGATGTTAAAAATCTTTCAATTTTAAATTCTTTGAGTAAAAAACTAACAAATCGTAGGCGTACCGAAATAAATGATATTGAGTTTTATCCAGTACGTAGGTACGTATTAACTATTTCTATAATTATGACGATTATTTTATTGCTTACCAAACTCTGTCAGTATTTGTCTCAAATTACTTATATTTAAAAATATACAATACATATTTAAATATACCTACATTGAAAGCACATAGTAACTTCGTTATCTATTTTACTACGATAATTAAATACCTACAATAAATAGAAGAATAAATCAAGTGTTATCAATGCAAATAAACCCGCTGACTAAATGTCCGTGGTAAAACCAGAATGTAGTTTCTGCGCATGCGTCATATGAGAGAGTTCCCGATATCCTGTAAAAAAACATATCTTGAAAGTCAGTGACCTGATGTAGGTACAGTTTGCAATGACGATTTTATTTAAATCTGAATTAATTTGTATGAATAAATAAATACAATATAGTTTTCAGTAACCTAATGGACCTGTACTTCTTTTCTCTTATCTGTGCTGAATAGGTACGAGTAGTACTTATTTGGGTAGACTTTTTTAAAATTAAGAAATTCTTTTGATTATCAAATAACTGTAAAACAATTAACATTAAATATTTTTTTAAAATAGCGAAATTTTTTAAAGATGGTATTAACTAATCGTAAATATTATTCTGTTTATAGAAAAACATCCGAGTATAACAACTCATTACGACATCGTAATTATAATTTAACCATTTAACTATCCGGCATGTGATCATAGTCATCGAACCATACCTAATAAAAATTTTGCTCATACACCCATCATTTAAAAGTTACTCACCACTTTCGCTGCTTCCAGTACCCGTTGCAAACGTGCAATGGATCACGTAGACCACTAGTCGGCTTTTGTAGGTACTAAAAGTGCAACGAAAGGTGCCAGCGTTGTTACTGTACTTACCATAAATAATAGTAGTTCCAACCATAGAGGTTTATTGCTCAATAGTTATTATAATCTGTGACATTTCCCGCGT